TGTTATCGAGCACCACATTTTCAGCTGAATTGCCAAATAAAACAATACTAGTCAAAAAGGATTGTCATGCTAATGGTCATTGAGAATTTCAAAATATTTGTTTGCATCTAGTTCGCTAAGATAATAAACTCAATCGAGATCAGAAAAGCAATCTGGCAATTTAAGACCTTCACTAGCAAGTTATCTTAAATATAATAAGCACCAGAAACATGGGATATATAACCAGCACAACAATAGATAAAACAGCATGCTTGTTTATAGATGATAGATTAGAGGTACTTTAACTATTAAAATTGCATAAACTTAGACAATTGTATTGCTTTATTTGTATATCATGTGTGTATACGCTGGCAACAGAGGATAATTTTCAGTCTATAGGTTATAGCATAGAAATGCTACGTCAAGTGTTCTTCTTAGCGGTATTTGGAAGACGCCTGGTGGAATGTGGAGTCCTAAAAAGGCCAGCTTTCTTGCTGCTTGATTGACATTTCTCATTCTTCAGAGCGGAGAGTAGACTCAGGGCGCTCTATGTAAGATTAGCCTTGCAATTAAGTTGTGATTGTGCTTTGAAAGACCTTCAGTAGATAATTCTGCTACTTTTAAAATGCTACGTATAGAACTGGGTTTAGTTTACACAATATTCCAGGGTTTCCACAAACAAAATATATAGAAAATAATTATTTTTATGCCACTGTTGACGATACAAGGAAGGGTTTACTTTATCACTGTATTAACCAGCTGCTTGAATGACAGTAATGCAGTCCCAGCATCCTACTTCCTATATGATGAGTCAGATAGGAAGATACAGCTGTTTTTGACCTGGATCCAAATTCTCTTTTAGTTTAGCAAGATACGGTTTTAAATATACTTCTTTAAATAAAAACAAAAGATTAAAGGGATACTTCATGCCCTGGGTATGTTTTTACTATCTCAAGTTAACACCACTTACCCTACTCTATCTGCATTGCCTGGTTTTACAGAATAAAAATACATTTACAGGCAAAACAGCAATTTGCTCATCCTGCATCCTCAGTTCCCAGCAGGAAATTGACTGCTGAAAGCAAGATAAATTCTAAACTATTTGTATTTAAATTTTCTGGAATGAGTATGCCTGAATGCTTTACAGCCTTGTAATTATGCATGTGTGATGTTATGCACACATGTACGTTTAAGACTTACAGGGTTATTTAGTAAAGTGAGAATTGTGGGGAAGTCAAAGTGAATTCAAAGTGAATTTGACATTTTACACCGAAATAGCCAAACTGGAAGCATAACTGACTTGGAGAATGTTTTAAGTTCAGGTACATTCTAAATTCACTTTGAATTCACAGTGTATTTTTATTTTACTGAATAACCCTGGGTGTTACATACCGAGAATTGTTTTTTATTTCCAAATTTCACTTGCTTCCTTATATATCCCACCTCTTGGCAGGTGCCATTTTAACAATAAGTTACACAAAAACACACTGATGCGCAGAAACAAACAATGACATACAAATACGTGCGATGGCGAGGTTCCTAGCGCTTGTTAGAACCGGATATGGCAGCTGGTACTTCCCAAACCAGAGTCCTTTCTATCTTGCAGTAACTAGGTATAGGTCGGGAAAGGGTACAGGGAAGCAGCGTCTTCTGTATGGTGGTGAGTCAGTATGGAAAATATGAAGACAGAAAACAGAATATAGTGTAGTATAATCTATAGGTGGTGAGGTAAAATAAGAAAAATGTCACTTACAATTTTCTGGGGCTTATGTTCAGCTTCAGATATAATTGTGGGTGCACATATTATAAAAGATGCACAAGCTCAAAATCTAGGTTTTGTTTTGGTTCAGAACCTAGACATTTGCATATGTCTTTAAAGGGTTAAACTAAAACTGTTTTGGTGCTTAGAGTATTCCTTCAAATCACAATATTCATAACTGTACATGCTAAATCTAAAATAACTATGTATACATTTTTTTTAAAAAGTGTGAGAAATTAAGTTATCAGCACTGAAATGCTTAAAAATTATTATTTTTTTCTTTAAACACTTGTTTTTAACAGTTTGGGACTTGTAACAGTGATCAGTGCTCTCTCACTTAAGAAGAAAGTGAGGAAACAGAGAGCCAGAGAATAGTGTACAGGCTGTCACTACGTCAAATGACATGAATTGGTGGCATTGGCTGCAGGGGACAGTCAGACCCCCAGACCACGATTGGCATACTGGATGAGCAGGCGGACAGATTCTTAGGATATGCTATGCCTAAGGTGCCCACGTGGCCCAGGTCGCCCGGGACAGTCCCGCATTTTGAGCATCTGTCCTGGGCACCCTCATTCTGGGATAATGTAGTGTCCCGGAATGAGCTGAGCTGCACCGCCGCCGACAGGGGAGATCTTTTTATCTCCCTTGCAGCCCCGTTTTCTTTCAATTTGCCCTCTCGGGCCGGTGGGGAGATCAAAGATCTCCCTCACCGGCCTAAAGGCCCTTCGTTAGTGGGAGAGAGAGGGCAGGAGGAGCGATCTGGGCGGAAGATCGCTCCTCCCACGAGCATGCTGTGTGTAACGTTGCCGCACGTTGCTATGGCAACGCTCCACACAGCATTCTGCGCGCGAGAGTGAAGACAGCCTGCAGCCAGAGGAGCTGCATGCTATAGATCACTACTCACCACTGGCCCACAAGGGCTGGCAGTGCCCCCCCACCTTCCCCAAAGGTAAGACGAAACGTGGGAGGGGGGCATAAAAAAATTATAAATGGATAGATATTATTTAAAACAAAATAAAAATAATTTTAAAAAAGCAGTTGCTCCCTGCACCCCTCACTCACACACACCAACCCTCACACACACACACACACACATTCACAGAGCTTCTCACACACAGCACCCCTCCACACACACAGCACCCCTTACACACACAGCAACTTTCTTTCGCACACACACACAGCACCCCTCACCCCCACACAACACCCAGCACCCCTCACACACAGCACCCTCTCACTCATACACACACACACACACACACACACACAGCACCCCTCAAACACACAGCACCCCTACACACATACACAGTCCCCTCACTGCAGTCTGGGTGTATTCAGCAGTATGTGTCTATTTAGCAGTCTCTGTGTGTGTATTCAGCAGTCTGTGTGTGTGTGTGTGTGTGTGTGTATATATTTTCAGCAGTGTGTGTGTATGTGTGTACTCAGCAGTCTGTCTGTGTGTGTATTCAACAGTGTGTGTATTCAGCAGTGTGTGAATATATTCAGTAGCCTGTGTGTATTTAGCAGTATCTGTGTGTGTATTCAGTAGTCTGTGTGTGTTTCATAAGCCTGTGTGTATTCAGCAGTCTGTGTGTACTCAGCTGTCTGTATGTGTCTACTCAACAGTCTGATTATGTGTGTACTCCGCAGCCTGTGTGTATTAAGCAGCCTGTGTGTATTAAACAGCCTGTGTGTATTTAGCAGTATCTGTGTGTGTTTCAGAAGCCTGTGTGTATTCAGCAGTCGGTGTGTGCGTGTGTTCAGCATTTGGTGTGTGAATGTGTTCAACAGTCTGTGTGTATGTATGTATTGCAAGGTACCAATAAATATAAGCTTAATTTTATAGATAATTTACGATTTTATTCCTCTGAGCTGTTGTGTAGACAGGGCCCCAGTGCACAGCTTTGCACGGGGCCCATTTTCTATCAAGATGGCACTGCGTGTAGCTCCTCCCCTGCCCTGCTGCATCGAGTAGCGTGACCGCGTAAACACTAGACATCTCGCAGCTGGGGTCACGTGACGTGTCAAGTATAAATTTGATTAAATGCACTCGTGAAAGTATGTGTCCCTGAATGGCAGTTAGGAAATGTGGTCACCCTAGCTATGCCACTCTAATGTCTTTAAAGCCCTTCACTTGTCGCACAGCATAGCACCCCCCAACAACAGAAATGAGCAATTTGGGTGTATAGATCATGTGCCTGCAGTCTCACTTCTCAATTCTCTGCAATTTATGAGTTAAGTCATATTGTTCATGCAGTGGTAGCCACACCTCCACTGGCTGTGTCTCACACAGCCTCCATGAAAAAAGGATGCATTTTTACAGCACAATGTGCTTTCGGGCACCCCTCCTTGCTGCATTTGGCTGCAAAGATTTTGGATTCAGGAAGCGCGGAGTGCCGTTGGGCAGGGACGCCACTGATTGTTGAGAGCTGTCAGCTGACGCTCTCAGCTAATCATCGACTCGCCATACATAAAACTGGCTTGGAAAGAAACATACCTTTTACAAGCCATTTTTTTGAATGTTATTGATTTAAGCCAATGAGCAGCACACCTGCTCGTTCGGCACTCTTTGCTTCCTGAATCTGATATATCTGAAGCTGGATGCCGCCAGTGGGTAGCTGAAAGTGGCTCTGGAGACAACTTCTGGGTTAAACAGTTCAAAAACAGTTGAACCCATAAAAGTAAGAGTGCACCTGTGGACCTCCTTCGTTTATATTAAGTTATTAGGGTGCCTTATGGTGCTAAACTGTCCCTTTAAGTATGAGTGCATTGGTTTATACACTAAACACTGACTTGTGAAAAGCTGACCTGGTTTCAGATTTTGAGCCATAATTGCAAACTCCATTTCTGCTGTTGTAGCCTAGAAGTACAACATGGTTACATTGAATCACCATAAATGACAGAATAAAACCAACTCCTCTCCATTGATACCAAGTTTGTATCTAGGTCTCTATGCACTTAGTCTCAAGTTGTTTCCGCTGCACTACTGAGATGAGAATTCTCAGGTACTTGACTCAGAATTATAACCTTAGGTGTTTACTAAATTTAACTCTGTTGAAGCTTGCACCAACTTGCCAGCTGTATTCAATGAGATCCCTTGACACCAACAACCCTGCCAGGTTCAGCTGCACGGTTTTTGACAGCCATGTGAGCAGATTGTCTTTCCTTTCAACTAGACAATCAATCCTTCATTTAACTTTGGTGGGAACTCAAATGAGAATTATCTGACAGATCCTGCAGCAACTCTGAACAATGAGTTAGCTGATGGACTTTGATTAGATGCCCCTCAAGCACTGACTTTTACACGAGGTTAGTAGAGTTTTGGATATTTTTGCATCTCAGCCGCGGTTACAGGTATTTGCAGTGTCTTTGCCAATATAAGAAGAATGCCAAGCGGGTAGTATACGATACAGCAACAAAATAATGCACGGATAGAAAAAATATGTATTTATTTTTGTAAACAATAATATAGAAAAGAGCTTTCAATTATCAGGTGTAAAGGAAATGTAAAGTTATATATTAGGAAATTCTTATCTATACACCACGTACTATGTTGTCATTTTTCAAATCTATTTCTCAAAGGCCATTAACATACCTTGTTTTGTTAACAGTAGTTTTAAGTACAGAGCCCAAGTTCCAGAACTAGGACAACGAGGAGCTGATGGCTATCGAATAAAGTGGAGAAAATAATCACTACTCCAACTCAGCAAAACCCATCTGGGCACCATTACTGCCAAAGCATACAGGAACCCAGAAGAATGTATGTTGACCATATGTGGAGACCGAACCATTTGAAGATGTTGCTTATAACCAGAGATGTGAATGCACGTAATATTTGTTAGACTGCATTAGATAATGTCAAACTATTATATTTGACAGCTGTTCTTTCCAGATTTAAACTACTATCACTTTTCCTACTGTCCGTCACAGAGATATTTTACGCAAAGTCTTCAGTTCTCTGTTCAAGCTATTTTTTCTTAATATTTCTGACTTTTTAATAACTTTCAAATCTCTTTTGAATCAATCTGTTATCTAATGTTTTTTTTTTCAATCGTTTTTTTTGAACATTTTCTTACATAGGGTACAGAAGGAAAGGGGGGGGGGGCAATTCCACAGGTAATAATGTTCAGTATCCTTTTGTGTACATGTTCCCAAGGCCAGGGAGGTTACAATATAGAAGGATATAGCAACAATTATTGAGGAAGACAATCTTTAGTGTACAATCACAACATCAAACTTTTTTTTTTTCTGGCATCGCCATACCTTCACGGATTTTGTAGGTTCCATCACGTTGTTCTGTACTGTTACAATTTCGTTTACACATCTTGTCTTGACTATATACATAATATCTAAACATAATCCTGCTTTAACTATATAATAGGTTCATTTTTTCCATATTGCTCTCTTGCTCCGTGTTCATGTGTGTCTCACCGGGACGATCTCTGTGTATGTATTGTTGACCTCCGCTAACCATTGTCTCCTGTTTGCACCCACCCCTCTTCCTGCAGCGGCCTGTCTAAATGGTTCTAGTCCTCTCTCGTGTTTTCTAATGTTTTGATCTGTAGAAATGTTTCTTTTGCGCACTGGTAAAATGTTTGTTACTTTACCTCATGTATGTACCAATAAACATAGCACATTTGTGAAGTCCAAAACTTACAGTGTTTTTGTTCGATATACAGGTGATACTCGAAAAATTTGAATATTGTGCAAAAGTTCATTTATTTCAGTAATGCAACATAAAAGGGGAAACTAATATATGAGATAGACGCATTACATGCAAAGCAAGATGGTTCAAGCCGTGATTTGTCATAAGTGCGATATTTATGGCTTACAGCTCATGAAAACCCCAAATCCACAATCTCAGTAAATTAGAATATTACATGCAAGCAATAAAAGGAGTGTACATAGAACAATATCGGACCTCTGAGAAGTATAAGCATGCATATGGACTGAGTACTTGGTTTGGGCCCCTTTTGCAGCAATTACTGCATCAATGCGGTGTGGCATGGAAGCTATCAGTCTGTGGTGCTGCTGAGGTGTTATGGAAGACCAGGATGCTTCAATAGCGGCCTTCAGCTCTTCTGCATTGTTCGGTCTCATGTCTCTCATTTTTCTGTTGGCAATGCCCCATAGATTCTCTATGGGGTTCAGGTCAGGTGAGTTTGCTGGCCAATCAAGCACAGTAATCCCACAGTCATTGAACCAGGCTTTGGTGCTTTTGGCAGTGTGGGCAGGTGCCAAGTCCTGCTGGAAAATGAAGTCAGCATCCCCATAAAGCTCGTCTGCGGAAGGAAGCATGAAGTGCTCCAAAATCTCCTGGTAGACGGCTGCGTTGACCCTGGACTTAATGAAGCACAGTGGACCAACACCAGCAGATGACATGACTCCCCAAATCAACACAGACTGTGGAAACTTCACACTGGACTTCAAGCATCTTGCAGTGTGTGCCTCTCCATTCTTCCTCCAGACTCTGGGTCCTTGGTTTCCAAATGAGATGCAAAAGTTGCTCTCATCAGAAAAGAGGACTTTGGACCAATGAGCAGCAGACCAGGTCTGTTTTTCTTTAGCCCAGGTAAGACGCTTCTGACATTGTTTGTTATTCAGGAGCGGCTTGACAAGAGGAATATGACATCTGAAGCCCATGTCCAGGATCTGTCTGTGTGTGGTGGCTCTTGATGCACTCACTCCAGCCTCAGTCCACTCCTTGTGAAAGTCCCCAACACATTTGAATGTCCTTTTCCTGACAATCCTCTCCAGGCTGCAGTCATCCCTGCTGCTTGTGCACCATTTTCTTCCACACTTTTCCCTTCCACATAACTTTCTATTAATGTGCTTTGATACAGCACTTTGGGAACATCCAACTTCCTTCGCAATTACCTTTTGAGGCTTTCCCTCCTTATGGAGGGTCTCAATGATGGTTTTCTGCACAACTGTCAGGTCAGCAGTCTTCCCCATGATTGTGATTCCTACTGAACCAGACTGAGAAACTATTTAAAGGCTCAGAAACCAGGTGTTTATAGTAGGTAAGCAATACCCAAAAATAGGACTATATACAAATTTCCTATAGAAGAATGTTAAAACGTTTGGCTGATTCCACAAGCACCTCCATGTTCTAGGAGGCTTAGAATAGACCTAGGTTTATCCTCCAAGCTTTCATGAATTGGAGCTTGAGTTTGTAAGTATTTAATGCTAAATGAGATCACTCCCAGGGTCCTTCTTCAGATATGCAAACATTTTTAAGGAGACAAATGAGCTTATATTTTTTTTCTGGATATATCTTTCTTGGTTATATCTTTCTTGATTCAGATAATAGAGTGGTCACAGTTGGATGAGGAGAATCAAGATCTAGATCATTAATGAATCTACATCATTTACTGATGCGTTCATGGGAGAGGAATATTCTTGCCCAAGGTGAGAGTGTGAAATATATTATAGGATATGGCAACAAGGCAACAAGGTCATTAGTGTTTGTAACCACAGAATAGAAACTGTAAGGGTTAGGACTGGTTATACCTGGCACCAGCAGCCTTGTTCTAATCTGATGTGCCGCAGTATTACCTGAGTCTATCAGGCTGCCTGCATATAGTGTGTTGCGGTTATCTGTATGATGCATACAAAAATGGAGGAGAAGATTCCTGCCTACTGTCTCCCTTTAAGTGTTGGTGGTGAGAAACTGGTTCTGGATAACATAATAATAACCAAATCTGACAGAAGTATTATATTTACCATTGTATACCCCTTTAACACTGTTACGGCATTCTATGCTGTCCTGCCTTAAATGGGTTTAAAAGCCGTTGCGGCAGCAAAAAAAAAAAAATAGACTTAGGGGTTACTATTGTATGTAGGAGACATTGCTGAACACAAATAGGAGTGTTTTAGAGAAGTTAACCCCTTAAGGACGGAGCCAAATATACACGTTGTGAACCAAAAAAATTTAAACAAAACCTGGCATTTGCGCTACATGTCTGTCCAACCGTAATTCACCTCTTTCATATTAAATGCACCCACCCTTATTATATATCATTTTATTCAGGGGAAACAGGGATTTCATTTAATATCAAATATTTAGCTATGAAACATAATTTAATATGAAAAAAATGGGAGAAAATAAGATTTTTTAATTTTTTTTTAGTTCTACATGACATTTTAACGGTCAATGTCATAATACTGTTTGCTTTTACTGCAATAAAATACACATATTTGTATTCAGCGATGTCTCACGTGTAAAACAGTACCCCCTATGTACAGGTTTTATAGCGTTTTGGGAAGTTACAGGGTCAAATATAGCACGTTACATTTGAAATTGAAATTCGCCAGATTGGTTACGTTGCCTTTGGGACTGTATAGTAGCCCAGGAATGAAATTTACACCCATAATGGCATACCATTTGCAATAGTAGACAACCCAAGGTATTGCAAATTGGGTATGTCCAGTCTTTTTTAGTAGCCATTTGGTCACAAACACTGGCCAAAGCTAGCGTTAGTATTTGTTTGTGTGAAAAATGCAAAAAACACAAATTTTGGCCAGTGTTTGTGACTAAGTGGCTACTAAAAAAGACTGGACATACCCTGTTTGCAATACCTTGGTTGTCTACTATTGCAAATGGTATGCCATCATAGGGGTAATTTTCATTCTTGGGCTACCATAGGGTCTCAAAGGCAACGTAACCAATCTGGCAAATTTTAATGTGAAAATAATTAAAAACAAGCCTTATATTTGACGCTGTAACTTTTGAAAACACCATAAAACCTGTACATGAAGGGTACTGTTGTACTCGGGAGACTTAGCTGAACACAAATATTTGTGTTTCAAAACAGTAAAAAGTATCGCAGCAATAATATCGTCCGTGTAAGTGCTGTTTGTGCGTGAAAAATGCAAAAAACGTCACTTTTACTGGCGATATCATCGTTGTAATACATTTTGCTGTTTTGAAACACTAATATTTGTGTTCAGCGAAGTCTCCCGAGTAGAACAGTACAGGTTTTATGGTGTCTCGGAAAGTTATAGGGTTAAATATAGTGCTAGCAAATTAAATTCCCTTTACTTTCGGCATGGGTTGTCAGGCAGGTCCTGCTAATTGTAATTAATTAAGATACCTAATTATGTAAAAATATTACATAGATATATATGTAGAATTAATATATGTATATATATACGTATGTGTATATATCTATATAATTTTTTTAAAATATTTTTATTTATATATAGCTATATATATAGTGATATATACGTATATATTTATGTATATAGATATATATATTATTTCGTTCTACATGTATTTTGATATATATATATATTAATTTCACAATACAGTTAGAACGAAATAACACACATCTATATATTTTTTAATTATTTATTTGTAATTATTTTTTTAATTTTATTTTTTAACGTATTTACATATTAAATTTTTTTATATTATATATAAATATATATATAACAATAATTATATATATATTTAATCAGTAACAGTCTACGTGTAATTTGATATTAATATATATATATATATATATAATTATATATATATTAATAGTAAAATACACCTAGACAGTGTATGTGTGTGTATGTATATGTGTATATATATACTTAGATCATATATAATATATATATGATCTAAGTATATATTGTTATTTTTTTACACCAATAAATTTTATTTTATTTTTATTTCCAGCCAGCAGGGGGACCACCTGTCATTACAGGCAGCCCCCCTGCTGGCAATGCAGGAGGCAGCCTACCCGGCCATGTGAGAGTGGGGTCCTAGGACCCCACTCTC